CATTAGTTGGTTTAGATGTGGTGTAGACATAATTTTGGCCAATGAAATACAAAAAATCTAACGGAGGGCTTCTGGGAATACTTTCTCACTTTAAAAAAAGCCACAGGAAGATACCTGAAAATATGCTGAGGAAGGGAGAGGAAGAATTAGGACTGCTGTTATTTACTATTTACTGTACCAAGCTTCTTATTAGGTGCTTTCCTAAAGGATCTCTTATTCTCAGAACTAGATTGCAAGGCAGGTTTTGTTATATCTATTCACAGACGGGGAAACTCAAGGCCTGAGAACAGTTAAGTCATTCAGCTAATGATTGATAGAGCTAAGATTCACATCAAGAAAAGCATGGCTTCAAATTTATCATGTTTTGTATTAGATACTTTTATATTGGACTAAATCTGGCATAAGTTCATGTTAGCGGTTGTTTTCCTTTTTTTTTTTTTTTGGAGAGGTTCAGGCCAGGTGTAATGAAAGGGACAGGAGAGAAACTTCCCCGGGCAGAGATGAAGATGGCCTCTGCGTTGAGAGCAGTTGGAAACCTCTTTTTATAGGAGGCCATAAGGGGCAGGAAAGTTCCACGCCTGCTAGAGGATTTTGGTGGGCTAGCGTGCAAAGTTTTGGGGCAAGGCTAGCGTTGTTGAAGTCTCCAAAAGTATGTTCCCTTCTGGGTGCTCAGGTGGACTTAGGTTCAGAGCCTGGAGAGCTGTGTACCCTCAGCAGTTTGGTTACAGAATCAGGTGGTCCCATCAGCTGACATCTTGGTCTGATGATCCTCTGAAATGGATCCTCGATCTTCGAGGCCTGTGTGTGATTAGGGAAGTGAAAATCATCCAGCATCGCTGGCTTTGGGGACGCGATTGATCTCATGTTGTGCTGTCTATTTTGAATCACTGAGATTTTGGCTTGAACACACAGTTTAAACAACTGGTTTGTTCGCTTCTTTGGTTGAATTAACTCAGATGACCAGTGTAAGCTTAAGCTTATTTCCTTTAGGAAATCTTTCCAAAGAAAGATTAAAAATGCCTACCTTACAAAGTTAAAGTGAAAATCAATGCATAAATGTCTCTGGTCCAGTTTTGATCACACGGTACATAGCAGAATGTGCTAGTTCCCTAAGTCTCCATTGTCTTCTTGGCCTCCCTCATATCTTTGATCAATGATCATCTTCTCAATGAGGACTTCCATGGCTGCTGTCACCACCCTTATCCTGCTTCTCACCTGGTAACAAACTCGCTAATTTACGTATGTGTCATGCCCACTGCGTATGTGATTCCTCCTGCTAGAATGCAAACTTCCCTTTGTCTCTTTTTCAATGGTATAGCCAATGGATCTAGAATCAATTGTATAGCCAATGGATCTTTTTCAATTGTATAGCCAATGGATCTAGAATCAATTGTATAGCCAATGGATCTAGAATCAATTGTATAGCCAATGGATCTTTTTCAATTGTATAGCCAATGGATCTTTTTCAATTGTATAGCCAATGGATCTAGAATCATCTGGCACATAATGGGTGTTCAGTAAATATTGTTGGATGAGCAAGTGTGTTCTTCCGGGTGGCCTAAGTTTTCATAGGCAGATTGAGTAGGTTAATAAAAAGGCTTTTATTGAATCACATCTAACATCATGCCCTCAACTTTTATGAAGCATCAATATAAGAATTAGCCAGAGAAGAAATACTTTTGCATCTTGCAGAGATTTCAGCTCCGTTATTTAGTGTCATTTTTCAAAAAAAAGAATTATTTTAGAGTTCAGAATTAAAGACAGGTTCCCTTCCTCTCCTTTTTCTGATAAAAAAGCTTTCTAAACCATCTTCTAGTCCTGTATATCATGGCTGCCAGGAAGATCAGAGGTAAACTTAATTGCTAGAAGCACTGGCCAGCTTGCCTCAGCTTCTGGCTGGAGTTATTTAATCTTACCTATCTCTCTATCTATCATCTATTTTCATTATCAATCTATCTACCTATTAGCTATCTGTCTATTATTGATTTTCATTACCTATGTATCTGTATTAGTTTCTAGGAATTCTGTAACAATTTACTACAAACTAGATGCCTTAAAACAATAGAAATTCATTCTCTAACAGTTTAGGAGGCCAAAAATCTGAGATAAAAAACGTGTGCAGGGCTGATTCTTTCTGGAGGCTCCGAGAGATATCTACCTTATGTCTTAGTTTCTGGCAATCCTTAGCATTCTTTGGCTTGCAATTGTGTATTCCAGTCATATGGCCTTATTTTCTCTTTTCACATGTCCAACTTATAACTCAAGTCCTTGGACTTGGGGGACACCCAGATAGAGTATGGCCTTATTTTCTCTTAATTAACTATGTTTTCAAATACCCTATTTCCAATTAAAGTCACATTCTGAAGTTCTGGATGGACATTAATTGGGGGGGACCTATTCGTCTCAGGATGCTACTAATGTCACTTCTGATTTATGTTCTTACCTTGGTCTCCACCTTCTTTTCCGGTATGTTGTTTAGTTTCTCTGATTCATTTATTCCATACTTATTGAGTGTCTACTATACATGAGATATTGCGAATATAATTGTAAACAAAGTCTTTGCCCATCCCTCCCAAGAGCTCTTATAATTTAATGAAGAGGGAATACACTGAAAAAAAAATCTGATTAAATGCATGTTTAAAAATAGTGAAATTTGTAAATCATGACAAGAAAAATGAAATAATGTGAAGTGTAATATGAGATAAAAGGAGATATGATTCCTATTGGTCAAAGATTATCAAGGTCTGAAAAAGGGAGATTTTACTTTTATTATTGTATAATAAACATTTAAAAATGTTTTATTTTTAATTATTACAAGTACATAATAGTTGTATATAATTATAGAGTACTGTAAAGTTTTGATACAGGCATAATTGTAAACTAATCAAACCCGGGTAATCAGGGTATCCATCCCCTCAGGCCTTTATCATTCTTTGTGTTAGGAATGTTCCCATTCCACTCTTGTAGTCACTTTAAAGTGTACCTTAACGTACTGTTGATTATAGTCACTTTGTTGTGCTATCAAATATTATTCATTCTACATAACTATCTAACTATATTTTTGCACCCGTTAACCATCCTTACTTTATTCTCCCCTCCCTGCTACTCTTTCCAGCCCCTGATAACTATTATACTACTCTCTTGTCTCCATGAAATCAGCTGTTGTTAATGTTTAGCTCCCACATCTGAGTAAGAACATGCAAGATTTGTCTTTCCAACTTGGCTTATCTCACTTAATATAATGTTTGTTAGTTCCATCCATGTTGCAAATGGCGGGATTTCATTCTTTTTCATTACTGTGTAATTTTCTATTGTATATATGTACCATAATTTCTTCATCTATTCATTTGTTGATGGGCAGTTAAGTTGGTTCCAAATGTTGGCTACTGTGAATAGCGCTTCACTAAACACAAGAGTGTAGATATATTTTCAAAGAAGGGAGATTGTAGCTGGGAATTGATAATATGAAGGCTTTAGCCGAACAAATGGCAGAAGCAAGAGTATTTGAGGAAGAGGAGACAACAGCATGTTCAGGGGCCCCGACATGGAAAAGCCACCAATATGTCTTCATCTAAAATGCCCATGGCAGTGAGGCAGTCATGAGACAGGAGGAAAGTGGCATGAGGTGAGGCTGAGAGGTAGGCTAGGGCTGGTGTCAAAGGGCATTGTAGGCCATGCCAACATTTCAGATTTTGTCCTCATTAACATGGGAGGCCATTGCAGGGATTCTAAGCAGAAAAATGATCTGCCTTGTGGAAAACAGATTGGAGGAAGACAGGAGTGAAACAGAGGCAAGTTAGGAGACTTTTGTAGAGTCCTGGGTGAGGGATGATGGCTTGTACTAGAGAGATGATGGTGGAGATGACAATAAATGGGCATATTTGAGGGATGTGTTATAGAAGAAAATGTATGGCTTATTGATGGATGCAGAAGGTGGGACATGGGAGGCATTAAAGATTCCTGCCATTTTCTGGAATGAGTAACTGGATGGCAGAGGTGCCATTATCAAGACATGAAGTACAGGAGGAAAAGAGTTAGGAAGGAAGATTAAAAGTTCAGCTTTTGACAAGTAAAATTTGCGATGCCTGTAGGTTATTCAAGTGGCAATGCTAATAGGAAAGTAGATATATAGTTTCAAGCTCAGAAGAAGTGTCTGTGTTGAAATACAAATGTAGGGGTTCTTAGAGATTAGAGGCTATTTGAAGTCAGTATTTTTGGCTTTAGGTTTTTTTTTCAATGTTAGACTGTCCTTGTATGAGATTATTTGGCTTCTCTTTTTAAATATGAGCTTAAATATCTGACCCTATGCTTCTGATCATACCTTTCTGTCTCCTATTTTAATCATCCAATCTCTAGATTGTAGATTTATTTCTAATTAAATTGTAACAGCAGAGTACTACAATTGAAGGAAGTATATTCTGAGTATATTTCAGAATATACTTGGGCAAATCACTCAATATCTCTGGGTACTAATTTCCCAACTGTAAAAGAAGGGAATTTGTTGTTTTCAGTTTTAAAAATGTGATTCTATAACCTAAGAAGTACTCGGTAAGGACTTTCTATTTTTCTAACCCATAAAGGATTTACCCTTAGCTAGTGATCATTGGGAAGTTAGCTAAGCATTGGTTAGATTTTTTCAAAGGATATGTTGAAGTACATATCATGACCAGAAATTAATGATTAAACCAAACACTGTTAATATCCATCTCAGATACGATTGCCATAATTCAGAACAGCATTTCTTCTGTAGTCGTGAATACAGGTTATGGGGAAGAGTAGAACTTAGACATTCACTCATTAACATGGCATCACATTTAAATCTAAGACAAGCTTACTATAAGTTCCTATAGGAATGAGCACTTTTCAAGTGAAGTGAAAAGTAAACCTAGAATCATAGAGCGTCCTAGTAAGTGCAATAGCCCGGAGTCTGAGGCACAGGTAACATATTCCTTAAGGTAAAGCTGTACACAGGGGGAACATCAGCAGCAGGATTACCATACCTCAGTGACAGCAAAACTTCTCTTGCCACAGGGAACCACCTTATACCACTTGTCGTGCAGCACATCCATAAATCCATGTGACTTGTATTGACTGATGAGCTCAGATATGTTGGAGGTCAGTGGAGAGTTGGGTGGGAGACCGATGCCATATCCTAGGGGGAAAATAATCTCAAATGAGTTTTTTACACCGTTCCTATAAGGTTGTCACCTTATTTTGTACGTAGGTGATATTGCCACCAGATCTTACAGCAAAAGCCAGGTGAGTTTTCACCGTCTTTCCTTCAGGGGACTGAAGGGTGTTCTTAGATGTGATTACCCTCAGACTGGCTGCATCTCAGAGTAGATGTGTCTGAGAGGAGAGGAATGGGTTGTGTACAGTGCACTAGTAGGACATTTCATTTCAAGATCTTCTGCCTGTCCCTTCAAGGTATTTCTTAGAAGCAATCTCTGAGGTCTTTCCCAAGAAAGGGAAGGATTCTCTACCTACCTCTCAGAACCCCTCCTCTGGACCTTATGTATACAAAGTTAAACTAGTCATACTCTTTGGTTTTTGAAATTCTCTTATTTGCTGTTAATGCATGACTCTCTATTACTTTTTTTCTGGTTTCTTTTTAAATAATAAAACAATGTGAACATGCAAAATAGCATGGGAATGAAAACATCAATAAGAACTTATAATAATTAACTTCAACTGTTAAAAAAAAACAGGCAAAGAAGTCTGGTAGTCCCAATTGTTGGAGAAGATATGGATTGATAAGATCATTTATATATTTCTGGTGAAATACAAATTGATATAATCACTTTGGAAAACAGTTTCTTATTTTGTTAGTATTTTGTATGGTTGAACATTTATTTACTTTAAGATCAGCAATTCTGTTCCTAAGAACATCCCCCAAGAACTCCACAAACACACCGGGAGATAAGTGCAACAATGTTCGTAGAGGCAGTGTTCATAAAAGCAAAAATTGGAAACAACCCACATTTTTTCCGGCAAGGGCATGAGTAAATAAATTGTGGAATATTTACACAGTTGGAATATCATAAAAAATATATGAACTGGAACTAGATGTAATGATAGGGATGATCTTAGCAATATGCTATTCAATGAAAAAGGTCAATCCCAGAGGATTACTTGCAGCATGAATCCATCATGTAAATATTAAAATATTCAAAACAAAATAATATATTTTGAGGAATACATGTATATATATGTAGTAGACTATTTAGGAAAAACAAGGATGTGATAAATGAAATATCCAGAATAGGGGTTACTTGAGGCAAGGAAGGCAGGGGAAGAAATTGGGAAAGAGCATTAAGGTGAAATTCATTTATTGTCAGTATTTTTTTGTTGTTAGATCATGTTATGTCTCTGCCGACCCCTAAGTCCAAGTAGAGGTATGCAGCAATCAAAGGCAAATGTAAGCATTTTTTCATTAAAATATATCACAAATCTTTTTCTTGTCATGAATGGAAGAGTTTGATATTGAAACAGGTTTGTAAGCAAATATTAAGAATATTTTATTAGAATATATTTCATTCTCCATAGGTTCATTTTATATACAATTACCTGTGCAGCTTTAACAGGCAGAGCTACATGTGTCTTTTATTTTAGTTTATGGCTTGCACTGAATAGTGTTTTATTTTTTAATGTTTTAAATTATTCATTTATTTATTTATTTATTTACAGTTTTGGCCAGGGCCGGGCTTGAACCTGCCACCCCTGGTATATGGGGCTGAAGCCCTACTCCTTGAGCCACAGGCGCTGTCTTAAATTTTTTATATTTATTTCAAAATGTTAAGGGGGTATAAATGTTTTTGATACATGGCTTGATTCAGGGCTACAAATGTGCCCATTGCCTGGATAGTGTTCCTTGTGTCCATTGTGTGGGTTTTGCTCCATCCCTTTTCACCCTGCTTGAATTTTTAGGACTTTTCCTTCCTTCTACACTTCTGTGCCCATTTATTAGTTTCAATTTATTAGGGAGTACATGCGGTGGTTGTTTTTGCGTTCTGTCATACTTCACCTAGAGAAATGATCTCTAGTTCCTCCTAAATTGCTCCAAAAGGCACAGATTCATCCTTTTTAATGGCTGTGTAGTATTCCAGGGTATATGTAGACCACATCTTGTTAATCCACTCATGAATTGGTGGGCACTTGGGTTGATTTCCCATCTTTGTGATTGTGAATTGTGCGGCAATGAACATTTAAGTGCAGATGTCTTTTTGATAAAATGACTTCTTTTCTTTTGGGTAAATACCCAGTAGTGGGATCGCTGGATTGAATGGTAAGTCTACTTTAAGTTCTTTGAGAAATCTCTGTACCATTTCCATAGGAATTGCAGTCCCACCCACATTATATAAGCATTCCTTTCTCTCTGCATCCACTCCAGCATCTACTGCTATTGGACTTTTTAATAAAAGCTATTCTAACAGGCATAAGGTGGTATCTCAATGTGCCTTTAATTTGCCTTTCCCTGATGATTAATGATGTTGAACATATTTTCATGTGTTTTCTGGTCATTTTTCTATCTCCTACTGAAAAACTTATGATACTGTCTTGCCTACTTTTTAATAGGGTTGTTTTTCTCTTTTTGATTTTAGCCCTTTGTAGTTTCTAAATATTATCCCTTTATTGGCTGATTACTTGCAGCTGATTATTATTGATAATAATTGGTTATTATTGATCTGCTGATTATTTTCTTAGCTGGGCAGAAGCTTGAAACAGGATCCCTTTCTCTTACCATTCAAAAAAATTAATTCGAAATTGGTAAAAAGTCAAATGTAAGGCATGAAACCACAAGAATCTTAGAAGAAAATGTGGGAAAAACTTCTAGACATCACCCACAAAGAGTTTATTACAAAGACCCCAATAGCAATTGTGGAAACAGTGAAAATACATAAATGTTCTTGAGTTTTGTGGTTGAGACTTAGACTGCCTGTTATCCTCACACTGTTTTTTTGAGTTTAGACTGTCTGTTATCCTCACACTGTGGCTTTACTTGCTTTCCAAAAGGTTACAACATTATTAATTTCTTTGATGAGCCATATGAAAGAGGCTAATTAATTGTATTTTGTTTTTAGTTATTGGATAGCATAGTAAAAAAAATAGATTTTGCTTGCAATATGATTGAGGAAGACAGATTAAAAATATTGTCAGTTCCTTTTTCACACACAAGGAATAAAAGACTGTCAAGGATCCAAAGATATTTAATGGGAACAAATAACTCCTATAATTATTCTATCTATCAAAGCAATTCCAAGGACATTAGTTTTTGATCCTTTTAACGCAGATATACAAATCCTTTTTAGAAAAAAACCTGAGGCTTGAGATGTATGTATAACCAATAAAAGAGAATAAACAATGCAGAAAAGACTTTGAGTTTTTGAGAGGTGTATGTTTTTTATTTCCTGATAATTTTGTTTGTTTCTTTACAATAGGGAGCTGAGGAAATGATGACAACGTCAAAAGCATGATTAGAATTTTCCATTCAAAGAGCTATTTTCAGCGTCTGTTTTGTGTTGAGTATTTTGATTTGAAAGGCAAGACTGATAATCAAAGACTTTGAATGGGGAGCTTTTTCTTCTGCTGCTGTTATCTTTAAATAACATTCTTTAAATAATGGGTAACTTATTATTAGGAATAACTGGTTTTCTTTAGAAAATTATAATAAAGGCAATTGACAAACTATAAATAAATGCAACTGCACAACTTTTCTTCAGGCTTTGTTTATGTGTCAGGCACAGTACTAGGCACGTAGATAATGATAACAGTCACTGACTCACACATTCATTTGCTCATGCATCCAACAAACATTTCTTGAGTGACTGGGCACTGTGTTAAGTGGTCAAAATTTAGCAGTGACTGGGGCAACTATGGTCTCTGCTGTTATGCAGCGTATGCTCTGCTGGGGAGACAGATATTAAACATGCACACCATAATGATTATATCATTACAGTTGAGGTAGATGCCAAGAGAAAGAAGAACTGGGCATGTAAGACCAAAGTGTAGGAGGACTCAGAACTATCTGGTGGGAGAACGTTGATAGTCAGAATAATTAACTAGGTTTTCTGCATATTCACATGATTTTCTTTCTTGGGGGCAATAGTTTTCAACAACAAAAAGTCCTAATATTTACTGAGGGCTTACTATACACCAAATACTGCTTTATAATAAACCTTTTACATGCCTTACTCTGTTCTGTAGACTATGCAGTAGAGCAGCAGTTCTCAACCTGTGGGTCGCGACCCCTTTTAACTGTATTAAAGGGTTGCGGCATTAGGAAGGTTGAGAACCACTGCACTAGAGTAAGATTGTACTAGATTATGACACATTATTCTGGTTAAATTATTCTGGGATTCTAATAATAAGAACTAGGTACTGTGTGCCAGGCACTATTCCACATGTGTCCCCACATGAACCCATGCCAGAGTATGTATTACTTAGAGACAAAGTTTGAATAAGTAAACTGCCAAGGGCACACAGCTGGTAGTTGGGAAAGCCAGCATTTGAAAGTAGGTCTGTTTGATTCTAATACCAAAGCTCGCTCTCTACCCACTTTTTTTTTTTAGAGACAGAGTCTCACTTTATTGCCCTTGGTAGAGTTCTATGGTGTCACAGCTGACAGCAACTGCCAGCTCTTGGGCTTAGGCGATTCTCTTGTCTCAGCCTCCTGAGTAGCTGGGACTACAGGCACCCGCCACAATGCCTGGCTATTTTTTTGCAGTTTGGCTGGTGCTGGGTTTGAACCCACCACCCTTGGTATGTGGGGCTAGTGTCCTACTCACTGAGCCACAGGCACCGCCCTCTCTGCCCATTTTTATTACCACTACCACATGTGACCAAGACACGAGAATATTGTATTTGATTCCTCCCCTTCAACACAGGCCCTATTACTATAGGTGTCTGGAATAATCTCCCGAACTGGGCAATTCATTAAAAAAATCACCATCATCTAAATTGGTAGTTTGTCTTCAGTAGAAATAAGTATCTGTTATTCACAGTTAGATTTTATTTATAAACATTTCAATAAGTTGTATAGATACAGGGCGAGAACTTGTATATGATTGAAATAGGTGGAGAATTAATTGGCAAGGACCCTCACTAATCATACTGTTTTTTCTAAAAAAAATCCTCTTAATATGCTAATAACACCAACCCATATTAGCATAATAATGCCAGGCTTGTTTGCATTTTTCACTTGATAAACACTTATTGCTCACCCATTCATTTATCCATTAATTCCTCAAACATGCGTTGAATTCTTATTCTGTGCCAGGCATTCTGCCCAGCGCAGTGGAAGTTAACAAGCTGAACTGGACACAGCACCCAGGCCATCCATAAGTAGCTTACGGGGCCCTGGGGCAGATGAGGTATACGTGGCTTACACAATGTGGAAAAGTTACATAATTCTTAAAAAAAAGATGAATGAGGCATAAATTCAATAAAGGAAAAATATAACGACTAGGACACAGTGAAAAGGAGAAGATCAGAGGAATGAGAGATTTCTACCAGATAAGGAGGATAAGAGAAGGCATCTGGGCCTGATTTTTGATAGTGATATTTTTGGTAGAGAAGACCAAAGCACGTGGTAAGAAAGTTTTAAAAATTTTGAAATTCATGCTTATAAATCTACGTATTCTACGAATAGAATTTTGGTACTGCAACAAAAGAATTAAAATTCCCTTAAGAAAAAAGCTATGCTGAAAGGGTGGCGACATTTATTAGAAATTGCTACATAGGAAATAGTCTTAAATTATTTTACTCCATCATGTCTAGGTTGATTTATAGCTGGCTGCTAAAACTAGATTATTATCCTTTTTAATTTTATATTTTAATATGTGTATCAAATATTGATCTTTTAATGATTTCTAGAATTAATCATAACTACTATTAGCTAATTAAAACAAACTATGCATAAAGAGTGAGAGAAAAAGTAGGAAAGAATTATATGTGCTGAGAAGAGGCATTTGTTAAAAGATGTAAAAATCCATTTTATTCACAAACAAAATAGTAGAACCTTGAGGGTTTATTTCTGTCCTTCTCTTTATCAGTTGCCTTTTCAATTTGCTTGTGTTCATTGGTCAAAGAATTCTTATTTTTAAATTGCTGACTCAACTTAGCAGCTTGAGTTGCTTTCATTACCATTAGATAAGTGGCTTGGTAATAAAGACAGGGTTGACTATTTTTTGGTTGATGGATGAAGCAAAATGGAATCCTTCAACCCTAAAGATGAAGGCATCAGGCACCCTGGAAATTGGATACAGCTTAATAGCCCAAGAGAACAATTTTCAGAATAGAATCCTCATCTCTTCCCCATGGATAGATGAGCTTTACTTAGCTAGGAGTGGTGGGAATATATTTTGGCTAGCAAATGTATCGTTAGAAATTCAGATACTGAAAGAATCCTCATGAAATGTGGTTGGAGAATAGATGGTTTGAAAATAAGACCTCAGCTAGGGTTAAAAAGCCTTCAGGAAGAAAGATTTATTCTGTTTTGCAGTCTGTACCATATTTAGCTGCTCTGAGACAATGGTTGAGAACGTACCGTGATGGTTCCAACTATGAAAGAGATTTAAAAAATGGGTTTCCCTTATTCCCAGCACATCAAAGTGGGGAGAGAAATGTGTGGGAGAAGCTAAGATCCGTGGGGGCTATCCTGGGAGAATTTTATAGTGAATCGATCTCAATCTATTAATTCAATACACTATTCAATACACTACTCAGTAGTACTTTCCTGAGCACTTCCTATATGCCAGCCTGCTCCTACAGTATATACTTTACATTAATTATTTTACTTAATCCTCGTAACTCTATCATAGATGTGCTGGTTTTTCTCCCCATTATATAGAAGAGGAACCTGAAGAGCAAATTAAGTAACTTGCCAGTTAATGACAGCAATTCCATCCTAACCCAGGTGCTCAGACTCCAGAGCCAGAGCCCCAAGCACTGTATTACATAATTATTGGAAAGCACGTAAAAAACAAACTTAAAAACAGGCAAATATCTTTGGCAGAAGGGTCAGAAGTCATGACTCCAGTACATTACTTTTTCTCCTAGTTTGACCTTATCGTCAGCTAACCCCACTGTAAAAATTAGGGACATGTGTTCATTTATCTCAACCTTTTCTCCCCCCGCGCCCCCCTCCCCACTATGTATTTGAGCCTTGGTGTATGGATTTAATTTGACCAAACCCTTCACAGGAGCCTATGAATTCCTAATTGTTTTGGTTTGTTCTGCCAGGCGCTCTTTAGCAGCAACGAGTGCTCCTGAGAGGGCTTCCCGCTCAGTGTGGAGCCACTAGCTCTCAGTGGCCTTGCTTTTACTTTTTAAGTCTAATAAATGCAGAGTGGTGAGATTAGGAGGTGTGTTAATAGCTATCTGAGTATGTTCAGGTTTCTATCACAAAATACCACAGAC